TTGCGGAGGTACGCTTAAAAAATGGTCTTTAATATGTTGCAGTTTGAACTTTCAAAATTTATTTCGAACACGGTCAGGTGTCATCTACTCTGCAGGGTCATGCAAATGAAATGATCAGATTCCCGGCAAGTGTGGATGAACGAAATATAGTGTCAAACGCATTTTATCAGGTCGCAGGTCTACCGAACGTGATTGGCATTGTTGACGGAAGCCACGTTCTTATAAAGGCTCCAACTGACCACGTCGGAGTTTACATTAACAGAAAACAGCGTCATTCCATTAACGTACAGATAATATGCAATCACCAGGATAAAATAACTGATATCGTAGCGAAATATCCTGGTAGCAACCATGATAGCTTCATTATGAGGAACAGTGCGATTTGCCATCGGTTTCAGCGAGGAGAATTCGGTAACAACGTTTTGATAGGTAAATTATATAACAAATACATTTAAAACAATTAATTAATTAAAAATTAAAGGTTGAAAATTAATTAAAAATTAAAATTAAAGGCGACAGTGGTTATTTTCGTGCACCATACTTGGCCATTCCGTTTTCGAGGATGATGGTTTTGAAATAGAATTCTGTAAAGGAAAGTGTAATTTTGCAATGAATTGTAATTACATACAACGTAAAACTTGAAATACAATTGCTCATATTAACAAAAACAACTGAACACGAAATTAATTGAATAGAAATTTGATGATTAATTCAAATGCAGCTGTTCACATCTGAAGAACGAACACATTGACCATCTGTTAATTGGACCACATAGTTCGGGAATTGGGACGATTCAAATTTCTTGCGCTTGAGTTTCAATTTTTCTTCCTCAATATTGTTTCGTTGTTGCATGAGATCACCAATACGCTTCAGTTCCTTAACTTGAGTTTCCAGTAAGGTAACTTGACGTGTTTGTAGCTGGTACAACGTGGTCTCGGGAAGCTTGCGTTTTGTGGGGCGAGGAGACTCATTTATTGACGGGTCTTCTTCACTTCGAGAAGATGGAGTGCATCGTGGGACGTGATTTCGGGCGGTAGTTGTCTTCATCGTAGGTTTGTCTGTAAAACGAGTCACAAACTTTAGTATACAACTAATCATGTCAGTCAGTTTTAAGCCTCACCACTGGAATCGAATCCTCCAAAAATTCCTTCGACTGATACCGTAGGGAGAGTCGACAAAATTTTTTCCTGTAGGTCGTCGAGTTGGGACAACGCACTTTCACCGCCACCGGTCTCATTCAGCTCTCGTTTATTTGCGGCCCCTTTAGCCTTGACCTCGCTCTTAAGCTGTTGGTACTTCTTCTTAATTTCAGACAGCTTTCTTCCGCCAGGAACCACACCCAATGCGTTGACCTTGAGAAGGACTCGCCCCCATGCTTCTGATTGAATTTCAGGAGTCATTTTCGTGGTGAATTGGCCAAAAAGTAACGAAAGATTTGCAACAATTTCATCAACTAGCACCTCCTTTTCCAGAGAAGTGAAATTTGGACTCCTTTTGGCACCTTCGGTCTCTAAAAAATTATCAATCACATTAATTAAGACAATTAATGTGACTTTAAATTTATAATTTAGCTTATGGAAAAGTGGTCACTTACTTGTGATATTACCCGTTAAAGTGGTCAACGCCATTTCGAAATGCAATGGAATGATCGAAAATGACCATAAAAACTTCAATAATTAGCCAGTCAAAATTATTGTAGGGAATGTGGTGTTGATGGTTTAACCGAGATGAAATAAGATGCAAGCAGCCGACCGTCATAATTTTTCATGATTTTTTTCAGTTCAGACGAGGTCACAGATTTTCGTTGCTTAGCCGTTGCTTAGAATTTGCGTAAGTTTAAGCATTCTTAAACTTACGCATGCCTAAGTCGACTGTATATTGAATACCAAATTTTGCTCAGCAAAAACCTTGCTGAGCATGTGCTTATCTACGCAAATGCTTATGATAGCGTATATTGAATTCCACCCAAAGCTTCTAAAATTAAATTTTGACTTGGGTACACCCTACAATTTTCCCAAATTGAATTTCGGATTGGTCACACCCCCAAAGTTCCAAAATTTATTCTCGGTTTGGTCACACCCCCAAAATTCCCAAAATCGAATTTTGAGTTCGTTACACCCCCAAAGTTCCCACAACTGAATTTTTGTACATCCCCAAGGTTCCCACAACTGAATTTTTGACTAGGTTACACCCCCAAAGTTCCCACAACTTAATTTTGACTTGGTTACCACCCCAAAGTTCCCACAACTGAATTTTCGATTAGGTTACACCCCCATAGTTCCCAAAATCGAATTCTGACTTCGTTACACCCCCTAAGTTCCCACAACTTAATTTTGACTTGGTTACACCCCCAAGTTCTCACAACTGAATTTTCGACTAGGTTACATCCCCAAAGTTCACAAAATCGAATTTTAACTTAGTTACACCCCCAAAGTTCCCCAAATCTAATTTTGACTTGGTTACACCCGCAAAGTTCCCACAACCGAATTTTGACTTGGTCGCACCCCCAAAGTTCCCACAACTGATTTTTCACCTGGTTAGACCCCCAAAGTTCTCACAACTTAATTTTTACTTGGTTACACCCTCAAAGCAGAAGCTTTAGGTAGAGCTATGGCCAAGTCAAAATTCGATATTATTATTTCTAGATGTTGAGTTGGTTACACCCCCAATGTTTCAAAAATTGATTTTGACCTGGTAACACCCCAAAGTTTGAATTCCAAGGGGTTACGTTGATTCGAAAGTGTTATATTAATTAAATAAATTCATAAATTGCAAAATGACAATTTCGGTATTGTAATATCGAAATATCGATATTTCGGTATTTGAATATTGAATACCGAAATACCGAAATACCGAAACCGATATCGAGATTACATGCCCTATTGATGACGCACCTAAAAACATCCTACCCGCGATTGATGGCGACGAGTGGGACTCAACCCTGAATGCAGTGTACTTCACAGCTGTGGATTCTGAGTTTAATTGGGAGGCAGATATAAATGTGATCGTCTTTATCTCCAATAATAAGTGGAAATGTGTCGGCGATGGAAATCCTATTCGAGGACCGGAATACAAATTGCCTGCACCCGACGGTGAAGCCACCAATGCACCATGCGAGCAAGGTCCTGTATCGAAAAACGTGCTTTATTCAACGTTGGAGAAACGTAAAATATTGCTGATTGGCCTCTTAACCCCGAAAATCTATCAAGAATATAAAATGTTTTTTAAAGATGCACCCCATCCAGAGAACTTTCACATGTTGGAAATCAATGGGACCAAAGGTGCAACGGACAAAAAAACGGCGGCGGGTATTAAGGATCAGATAATGCCGATAATTCTAGAACGCGCGTGCACTTGAAATACGATACGAGTTTGCGCTCATAATCGACTCGACACAAACTTTTATAGGTAACAAAACAATTTAAATTATTATTTGTCTACATGATTATTTATGTACATGCTTCCGGTATATGTATCTATATATGTTTGGAAGTTTATCTTATCACAAACTTCAAGCTACTGTGATAACAAAATAATCCCAACCTGGGGCTAATATCTATATACAATTTAACTATAGTTAAATTGTATATAGATATTAGCTAGGTATACCTAGCCAGGCACCGGGGTTTACGACTCACTCACGCGTAGACCATGTTGTTTAATTACTCAAGCCTTTTAAAAACAATCATTTCCATATTTTACAGAGAAATTTTCAAGAAAATGGTACAATCCCGAACCTGAGTCTTACTTTGATCAATCCATTCGAAAAATTACATTCATTGTTGACAAAATATTGAAGGAAGTCCCCACCGCTAAACTACATCTAACAACGTTTGGAGATTATCCCACCGTGCAAAACCACAATGAGAATTCCACTTACTGCTACCGGTATGAACTAACAATCTCAAATAAGGAAACCTTCCTCACCGCCGTTAAGAACGTGAACAGCACATACGGCGGAAGGGACAAGTACGAGTCCAGTTTGACTGCCCTACTCTACACTGCGACAGAGCCGAAGATCAAATGGTCCTCGAAGGACACGAAGAGCGTAGTGAAAATTATAGCTATAGCGTCGGACACCTTGTGGAAATCGTATAGCAACGAAACTATCGGTACAGGGCCCGAGTATGGGTACCCAGAAGGGCCAATCGGCGGGTATGGGAACTGCTTACATCGCCCCCCAATTACTAACGATGTCTTTAAAACGTTAGAAAAAGAACAGTTTTACTTGATTCCTATGATTTATGGCGACAATAGTAGACGGCTTTGGAATAACACTTTAATGAGTGTCATGCGAAATAAATATTTTATGGAAAACGAGCCGGTATCGGATCCTGCCTTTGACCGTGTTAGATGGGCGATTAATGGCTGGGCCAATGAGAGGTGCACGGACTGAGGTAAATAATCATAACATTATTAAGTTGCTTAGTTTATTGTGTGACATGTTATTTCCCAAACATCGTTAAATGGTTTTTGTAAATATGTACATACATATTAAATCAATTCAGCCACATATATTAACCTAACAATAACTAAATTCAATTACATATTTCAAAATGTTAATTATGGGAACTTCAACAAGTTAAGACTTTCTCGTTATATGTACGTAAGCATCAAGGCTGAATAATTTATATCAATTATCTCAGATGGCCATCGGAGATGTACATATGAATTTGTATCTTGACCACAACCCTTGGCGTTGGGTGTACCTATACTACAGATATTTCCATGCGATTCGAAATTATATACACTCTTAGCAACTTGGTAAAGAATTCTTAATAAGCGTCTTTACCGAGCTGTTGGTAATTACGCGTCCTACAAAAATTATACGGGGTTATTACCGTATCAATACCAAACGAGTAACTGGCCATCCACCGCAATGTTTTAAGTTATCTTTATAATTTTGGTAATAAATTCCTACGAGTCGGTAATTATATCCTACAAATTTAGATAACACTCTTTACCATAATTTTAGTAAAGCGCAGTACAAATTGGTACTAATGAGATCTACATTTTGGTGTAGTTTATTACCATGGAGGTAAGAATTTTAATACATTTGGTGATAATTGTGAGACGCTAAACAGTGGCGCATTTGTCAGTTTTAGTTTCCGCTCAGCTCAACTCAAGTCAACATGGCGAAATTAATCCATTCTGTCCAGAAGTTTTTATCAGTGAAAAAACTGATAAAAACTTCTGGGAATTATATAGAATTGTTGAAACAGGTAAGTATCAAATTATCATATGTATGTATGTAGGTGCCTTATCAAGATGGTGATCGAGCACCATCATAATAATAGGAAATAGTTAATAATACTATTATGCGTTTATTTTTTCAGTGAAACAAAAATTTAAGTTGGAAATCGGAGCAGATTGCAACTTCGTGTAAATATGTATACATGTGTGTGTATGTCATTCCATAGTTTGCATTATACTTAAATTTTATAATTATGTATGTTTCAAAACTATTTTACAATAAATATAATTTTTGATTGAAAGATTATTGTAAACAAAAGCAAAAAATCTATTCTATTCGGTGGAAATCTGCACAACATTTGGTAATAATGGGGTATGCATATGAAAAGCATTAATACCGGTATGAATAGCACACCGTGTACAAAGTGGTATGCTTTATTACCAGGCGGTAGACATTTTACTACATATTGTAGTACATCTGTCATACATCATGGTATTAATTTTATCCCAAAAAGTGTTCTTTATTACCACTTCGGGTTCAATCAATTTCTTTACCGGCTGGTGGTTATTATTACCGTTTCTGCAGAGTCATATACGTGTGCATTTTGGTAATGATTTGGTAATGATTTTATTTAGAGTGTAGGTCTTGATGAGAGCTTGAAAATGACACCCCACTTGATGGGGTAACGCGATAAAATAATCCGTGACCACACCCAGGCCCTAAACTAGGGGTGGGCAAGCAGGGCAATTGCCCGGGGCGCCAGAATTTGAGGGAGCGCCGGCAGGCGCACCTCTAAGCAATAGATATAATTGATAATTTGAGTGATAGCCGAAAGTAAGGACTTGGTTATTAAAACGTTGAATATAAATAAACCGTAGTAACGTTAGAAGTAGCTCACCCTGTCAAAATTATTTATATAGAACTTTGCACTGAAGCTTCGGTGAAAAGTGCTATACTAGTGCACCTTCGCGAAGGTGCACAATGAGCCGACAAAATAGATCATAATTATTATATATTCTTGCACCTATGGTGCAATATAAACGGAGAAATGTAGCAAATGCTCAAATTAGTTGGACCACTTGTGCAACATTAGCGTCACTCCGGCTACATAATTTTGAAAATTTTATGTCAAAATTGTATGATTATTTCTCCCGGATATTCTGCACTATTAGTGCGTTTTGCATCCAGTAGGCCCTATCATTTCGCATCATTTTGGGTTCTCAATTGTTAGATACCAATGGTGCTATTAACTTATTAAAGAATGGACTTGATCTATTTTTATTATATTCATTAGTTATTCTGCACTTTTGGTGCATCTTGCATCGATTCCCCCAATTGTTTCACACCATTTTGGGTAACCGATTGTTCGATACTAACGGTGCTACCTATTCCGAAATTGTAGTCATTTCTTGATCAATTTGCACAATTAATTCGCACCATTTGCGCCACGGCTTGTTCGATACCAATGGTGCTCCTCAGACCGGTAATAATGGAGCAGGGACTTATTAATTCGCATCAATTGATGCAAAAAACTCGTCAACAGACAGACGGACGGACGGACAAGAGGAATTCAATAGCTCTCATGCTACGCAGGGTGAGCTAATTATGCAGCATAACAATTGTGCAGTATTGTATTGTATCGTATGCTTCATTTCACCAGTCTTTTAGACCATCCGGCGGCCGGATGGCCGGATTCCGGCCCATAGAGTATAGGAAAATTTTTCATCATTTAACATTAATTGTGGAGTATGATTTGGAAAAATTAATGAATTCAAAAGATGTGCAATGATTAACCCTTTAACTCATAGCCAAGACAATTGTCGTTTAAAAAAAAGGTTAAATTCGGGAGTAAGATAAAAGTCGTCATAGAAAATCGTGGTCATGGCGCGGAAAGAAGACAATTGTCGTTTGTTGGAGGTAATTGATTTACACCATTTTTCATCCACAACCTAAGATTTGTTGCACTTTTGAGGGATTTCTCCTATGCCAACAGAATGCTAAATTTGAAAACTTTTTTACTAAAAATTTGGATATTTCCAAATCTAATGCAATGTTAAGTTTTTGATTTTTCAGTTTTTTTAAGTTTTCTAAAACCTCCTAAATTCCTCCCACAACCATGACCACAACATATGTACTAATAGCGTACCCCAATTAATGCATTTTTGTAGGTGAAGAAATTCGTTAAAGGCGTATTGAATCATAATTTAATACTACATCCGACCATAATTAATATTTTCTTCTAAATATGTACTTCATCAGTGTAAAGTACTTCGTTGTTCGTAATACAGATTATTACTCGATTTTTCCATCAGTATTGTGAATGCTTGAAGTAAACGAAACAAATTTGATTTGAATTTCAGCCAGCCTCCAATGTTAATCAAGTGGGCACGTGATTTTGGCGCGTAGAAATTCTGACCCGTTTACTTCGAATCGAAGTCTTCGATGCACCGCAATAATAATACACTTTAGAATCAATTTAAAATCTAAAATTAAAAAAAAGTATATAAACGTTTCGATTTTTATTTGGTCTATGTCAAATACATTAGAAGCTTCTGTGCCGTATCTCGCACATGAAAAAGTGCAACCTTAACGCATTTGAGAGAGTGTAGTAAATTTAGCATTCTCCCAGAGACACGCAGGTCCACTAGATGAGCGATTTACTGTCAACTCAACTATTTCATAGTTTGCTTGTGTTTGCAATGAATTTTTAAATGTACATTTTGGAGCTAAGGAACATTCGCGAGCGGCTTGGGGCGCCTTAGGAAGTTTGCCCACCCTCGTAGGCAGCCGTGTTTAGGCACTGACCACACCCCCAAAAGGGATTGGGTTTACATAGAAGTTGCAAAATTTACACACTTTGGAACTTCATACGTCGTTTCCCAGACGCAGAATTCGAAGAAAATGAACTGATCGAGAATTATAGGTTTTGACAAGCAAATAACCTAGTCCGGACCACTGTGGATTAACATGAAGTAAAAAATTTGAGAAATATGGATATATATATTTATTATATTAAATATATGTATTAAACATTCTGTAGTTTCCAAATAAATAACAAAGCTTTCTAGATACAATTAAAATTATTTATTTCAAAATGTATGTCAATTAGATACATCGTTTACAAGTTCAGACTTTCTCCTGTTACAAATTAATAGGACCAACAAACTTTAATACTTTGTATGTTCTCTGTTAAAATAAATCAACAAAAACATATTCACGTCTACCTTTGTAACGGAGGATTGGCAATGTTCCAAAATTGTTTCAACACATTTTCCCCCAAATACGAAATGTTATTAAATTGCCTAAAATTTGTGATGTTTTTGGCCTAGTTTGTAGCTTTGTAAACTTACACAAAATTGCATAAAACACGTTAACGATTTAAATCAGACAGTTTTAAGACAATTTGCAGCATTGCAAAAATTATTGTAACCACGACATTTTGCAAATTTTGTGAAGTTACAAAGCTTTACGTGAATAGTCGGAGTTAGCCTAGGAAAATCAGTTTTACTAAATTCGCTACAATAATAAGAACTAAACCGTTTGCGAAATTGTTATATCTATACATAAGTTAAAAATTAATACAAATCACTTCACGCAGACTTTCGCAGAACTTCGCAAATTTCTAAACTTTTACAAATTGTTGTTACATAATTCATAATTTTGTAAACTCTACAAACCTAACAAGCTGCAAACCTTTGCCTTAAATAAGTGATTTTCATAATAAATTATAATAATATGTATCAAGCAAAAAAATCTATACATATCATATTTGTCACGCCAATTTTTGTAACTTTGCAAATTTCCAAACTTTTACAAGTTCTTGCTCCTTCACAATTTTGTAAACTACACAAATCTAACAAAGTTACAAAGCTCCAGGCTTAATCATTCATCACGAATATAGGAAAACAGTTTCAAACTTAACAAAGAAAAAGTAACACTGCCAAACATTAGTTGATATCACTTCACGCCAACTTTGCAACTTTCCACATTTTCAGACTTTTACAAATATCCAATCCAGCCATCATAATTTTGTAAACTCTACAAACCCAAGAAAGTTACAAAGCTTTGCGCTAAGTCGAGTTTACGAAAACATATAAATAAGGAGCTAAGGAAATCTTAGAGTTGTACAGTATAGGCAGAAAGTCATTATATCCTCATACTTTTTGTACATAAAGCCTCATATTTTTTGACAAGCTTGAGAGGATGAACTGCAATTTTGCACAATTACTTACTATGATGCAAGGTTTCCGGAACCATACTTTGGATAACGGCGTGGGACAAACAACGACACGGTTAAATTATATCCAAAATTCCGACAGGAAAAAAGTCTTTATACCCTGATTAAAATTTCATAAAATATTTCTTCAAAGTCTTCTGTGTTAAATAACAGTCAAATTAGCATCTGGGATGTCGATCTCGATCCTTTAGGAAGGCAAAGACACAACTTTGAATCTACCCAAGAAATCAGCTGGTGAAAGAATTGTCAAAATTCTCCAATTCAAGCTATTTGGCGTCGACCAGTTTTTGAAGTTTGATGGCGTGTGCTGAGAAATTTTTGACTTCACCATTGACCAGAGATGTGCATTAACATGCTGTCCGATGATTATGGATGGCAGTTCAACCATTCAATGTCCTTTGTTGTAAACCAAATCTTCAATAATTTTGATGTGTGCTTAGAATCGCCTTACCATACGAAAATATAATTATTCTCCGGCGGTTATTTGTTCCTGTCACCATCAAATTCCAACCCAGAACGTCGCAGTAGTAGTTGGAGTACATTATTACTTCGATTGTATTAAAGTTTCGGACGCCCTTCCAAAACGTAACGCCCAAACAATTCGATTTCCACCCCCATCCTTGATGCTTAGCATACGGTAGTTGGTTTTGTCAGCGTCTATTTGCTGAATCCATATTCCACTGGTCCCAATTTGAACCAAACAGGTTGATGTTGACGTCGGCGAACAATATCAGGAGTTTCTAACGTCTAGCCGTTCAATTATCTTGATTTTTAGCCCACTTAGAGCTGTCTACAATATAGGCCTCGCGGAGAAATAGAATTCTCCATGTTGCTAGCTATTCAAATCCATCTTAAGCGATCCTATTCTTTATAATTCGCACAGAAACTCGAAGATCGTATTCCTCCCTCGTTTCCAAGTTGATTTTTGGTAAAGATTACCGTGAAGTCTTTGGCTTTTGGAGCAGTTACTGTGATCAGTCCAAAGGGGTGAGATCTATGTCCATGAAAAAGCTGTT